TGAAGTCAATTGCAAATGCATATTGCTCTCTTGTTACGGCCTCATTTGAGTGGGTAACTAACATATTCCAAGGCTACTCCAATATGAATGCTTAACAAAGGAACATACTTATCTTGAACACAATACCAAATTGATTGATACCATTGCATCTCATTAATATGTTTGTCCTGAATAATGATGCTTTGTTCATTCTCTGAGATTACCATTTCATTTACTTTGCATTTTTGGATAGTCTTTTACTTCATTCTTTTTTTTTTCTTCCTACAATTGTAACACAACCAACCAACAAGCCAGAGATAAACAATATTAGCACTAGATTGTAAACCAAAACTTTCGACCAACCCAAATTATAAAGAAGTAAAATAATAATAATAATAATATGAGATGAAAAACATAGATGCGTTGTACGTCCAAATCTAAGCATGCCCTGCTGCCCAGCAGTCCAAGCTCTCCTCTAAGGCATTTTATCAAACAGTTAGAAGGCATACATGAAGGACAACTCCAACCTTCAAAGGGGCAGCACCCAAGTCATCCATGGAGATTTATTGGAGTTCGGAGGTCAGCTGACCCCCTTTGATCGTAAGTCGGTCTACCCCTGCATGTGGACAACATAAATTAGGTGACATGGATCACATGTGGCCGTTAAGCTTCACATGCGGGGCAACCCACTTTGATGACATAAAGAAAGTTGACGTTTCACCCTCAAAATAATTAGCAATATGGGAGGTAACCCAAATATTTATAAGTGCATATAAGGTCCTTTTTTTCCGATATGAGATTTTTATCTCAACAATTCGTTTACTTATGATTTTTATTTTCTAGAGGAAGTGGACATTTCATTAACAACACAATTTAAAGACTGGGCATATGTCAAAGAGTTCATGGTCTCTAAAAACCCCTGCACCCGAGGAAAATCACATGAAAAATACCCCAAACTAGGAAAAAAGACCACATATGCGAACTAAATAATTATTTTTTGTTTTTGGGGCCCCGCCCCCCGCGGGGGCGGGGCGTTGTAGTTGGAGAGATGACCAAAACCCTATTCATTACAAAATCAATAAACTCGAAAAAGATAGATTATTCTGTGAAAGAATTTTTGGGCCTATAAAAAGTGGATTTGTGCTTGTGGAAATTATCAACTAATCGGAGTGTAAACACGAATTTTGTATAACAAATGAAACAAGAACATGTGCACAAAATAAATGTATTTGTATTAATGTAGGTTTAGGGTTACACTCTCTTTACAACTTTATCCTCTTATTTGATCTCTAAAACGTGTAGATGTGTGATGTAGGGGTTGTTGATCGAAGGGTCGTGATGACTTGATTGTGGATGAATGATTGCTTCAAGGATTTGTCTTGTGGCGAAAGAAGAACCGGCACATATGGTGGTGCTTGTTGATTCTTCAAAGGTTTTGACGAACACAAAGTGCTTTATGAATTCTTCTAAGTGTTTTGAGGATTTGGTTGCTTGAGCTTTGGCAACGTCTGGGTGCTTGAATGATTTCTGAACCCTTTTCTTTGTCTTGGAGCCTACAAAACCACCAAGACTTGATTTGTATCTCGGTTCGTAATTTGTGACTTTACGCCATCAATTAATATTTCATTTAAATAAATATAATACAAATAAATCAATACATTTAAATTGATTAATTTATTTAATTTAACTTAAAATCTAATGAACCATTTCTGCCATATATTGACACGTGTCCTCTTGATGACTAGTCCAGTTTTTTGACGAATCACATGCCATGTGTCAATTTGTGAGACACATGCCACGTAAGCCCTCTCATGCCAAAATTTAATGCACTGGTGAACATTTATTTTCACCAAAATTTGCATGTCTACACAAAAAAAAAAGGACCCAAGATTTTGTGAATAGTGTGGAGTTGAATTCATTGATTCTCACCTACGAAGATATCAAATGGGCTACATCAAACTGGCATTCCCAGTAACCCATGTGTGGTATTTGAAATATATCTTCCTAGTTATATTGCGAATCTTTTAGATAAAGCTCTTAAAGAATTAGAAGGCCTAGTATATTGCAATGTTTGATTTGATCAAAATTTTGTTTTTACAGATTCGGAATGAGAAACTGTCATCCTATTTAATTGAATTGGGCTGCCCTGGATCTGACATATGTCTTGGTAGGAGTAAGAGTAACATGAAACTCATAATTATAGGTGTATTCAATACTCCCAGTTGAAAAGGGAATTAGTCTATGGTCGATTTAGTAACAAATAATAGGAATTTATAGTTGTACCACGTAAAAAAATACTTCTTTTGAGGAATTAAACATTCCCCTTCGTTTAGAAAGAAATTAAATTATGTGTATGTCCAAATAAGCAAATATGTCATTGGGGGGAAGGCGGTGAGTGATGTTAACAAGGGAAGGGAAGTTGATTTGTAGACCATCCTAGACAGCGTTCATAAGTCACGTCGGACCTTCTTCAGTCCAAAATGAAAATTCCATAACTGCAGCGAGCAATATTGTGAGCAACACCATTGGCCTGTCTCTTGACATGGTTGAAAGTGATCTGGGAAGAAGACGGACTTCATCCACCAATACCCCTTCCTCCCCAAAGCATTCATCTGGCCTACAGACCAATGGTATCGCCATCGATGAGTCAGATTCCATTTGGAGAGGGACCCCGCATCCAGTGCAAACGATACTCCCACATTAAAAGCATAAAGTTTGATGTATAACGATACTCCCACTGCAAAGCATTCATCTGGCCTACACACTAATCTTTCTTTCAGTCATTCCCTTCCCGTAATCTATTAGATACCAAATATATTGGACAATTGACTGAATATTCCAAGGCGCATTGATCTCTGTTTTAAGAACTTGTGTCTTCGATGGAAAAAGCATAAAGCTTTACGGTTCATCGATATCGGTTTTCTGTATCTGCTTCTACCTCTGCTCGCACAAGTCTGAGCTCTGATTTTTGTCTCATTTCTCCAATTTATGTCTCCCATTTCTGATTTAGGGTTCTTATCCCAAATTTGATTTCCGAATTCTTGTTTGGAATTACGCACACCAAGTGTTTGATACTTGTTCCCTGCCAGTTTCTACGAAGAAAAGTTGCAATGATGGTAACCGCTTCTCAGTTGCAGATCTTGTAATCGCCCATTACGTCTCTCATTTCCTCTGTTTCTACGTCTATCATTATGAAGCTTGATGACACCAATTACTTGACATGGCACTTTCAGATGCAACTTCTGCTGGAAAGTTATGGAATTATGGGGTTTTTCGATGGTTCCAACCCTTGCCATTCTCGATTTTTTTATGAAAATTCTGCTGATTCTGATGTTCTTTCTGGTAGTACTTCTGTTGGGGTCGAGTCAGATACATACAAGATATGGAAAATGCATGACAAAGCATTGATGCAACTCAGTTCTACAACTCTTTCATCTCCTGCGATTTCTTGCTCCTTTGGGAGTAATAGTTCTTTGGATTTATGGACTCGACTGAAGGAACAATTGTCAACAGTTACTCACACCAGCATTTTCCAAATGAAATTTGAGTTGCAAACTATCAACAAAGGTAATGATTACATCACTTTCTATCTTCAAAGGATTAAGGAAGCTAGAGATTACTTGTTTGCTACTGGTGTTTGTTTTGAAGATAATGATATTGTAATACTTACACTGAATGGTCTGCCATCTGAGTTTAATATCATTAGGTCAGCCATTAGGAGTCGTGACACTGTTATTCCACAAAGATCTTCGTTCCCAATTGCTCGCTGAAGAAGTAATGATTGAGGATATGAATAATGCACATATGCTCACTGCTTTGGTTGCTCGACAATCTGATTTCAATTCCAAGAATTCTAGCTTTTCTTCTCATAATAATTCTGGTGGTTTCTCATCTCAGAATTCTAACCCCAATTATCAGTTTAATGGTTACAGAAGCTTTAACAACAAGAATAAAGGCAGGGATAGGTTCAATTCTAATAACAGGTTTGGGAATAACAAGCCCTTTTTCTCCAACTCTGAATTTGGAATTTTCGAAAATTCTCCACAATAGTTTGGTTCATCTCCAGCAATGACTTGTCAAATATGTGGCAAACATAATCATCTTGCAGACACATGTAGATTAAAAAATGCTCCTGTTTCTCAAGGGTGTCAAATATATGGGAAAAACAATCACTTTACTGATACATGTCAATTTAGAAATGTTGGGCTAAATTCAGGATGTCAAATTTATGGTAACTCCAATCACAGTGCTCCTTTCTGTTTCCAGAAGAACTCTATTACTCTAATGAATGCTATGTATGCTCACACTAACTCTCGAACTCAGTCTAATTCTTCATTGCCATCTGCCCCACCTCAGCAAGTATGGCTCACTGATTCAGGAGCAACAAACTACATGACAACATAATTGCAGAATTTGTCTCTTGCAACACATTATCCATCAAATGAGACCATACAAGCTATAATGGTGAAGGTTTAGCCATATCCCATAATGGCTCCACAGTCCTTAAAACTCCATTAAATCTAGTTTTATATGTTCCCAAGTTAACACATAATCTGTTGTCAGTTCATAGAATCTGCTTGAATAATAATTGTTGGTTAATATTTGACACATTTTGTTTCTAGATTCAGTACAAAACCATAGGGAGGATAATCTACAAAGGGTTGTGCAGTAATGGGTTGTATCCTATCATCTCACCAACATCCACTGCTTATTCAAAACATGGATATGCTGTTGCTTTCTTGGACAACAAGTCAACTCAAGGTTATGGCATAACAGACTAGGTCACCCTTCTAATCATATAGTATTCCAAATGTTAAGAAAGTCCAATGTGTCTTGTAATATTGATTCACTACCTATGTTATGTTCTACTTGTTTGGAATGAAAGTTTACAAAACTTCTTTTTCCCTTGTCTCAGTCTAAGTCTGTAAAACCTTTTGAGATTGTCCATAGAGATGTGTGGGGCCTAGCTCCTTGTTTGTCCATTGAAGGGTTCAAATATTATGTAACCTTCATTGATGAGTGTAGTAAACACAATTGGATTTTCCCAATAAGTAATAAAAGTGACGTTTACTCTACCTTTGTCTCATTTTATCAATACATTGTCAATCAATTTGATGTATCTGTTAAAATATTACATACAGATAGGGGATGGGAGTATATAGAGAAATCCTTTCAAGCCTTTCTTTGGGATAAGGGGATTGTTCATCACATGTCTTGCCCTCATACTCCTGAACAAAATTGCCTAGCTGAAAGGAAACATAAGCATATCATTGAGACATCCATTATGACACATCGCAATCTAGATATCTAAATGACACCTGGAAGGCACGTGCGGGCCGACACTCGAATGTGACGGAAGCCTTAATTGTATAAACAAATACGAATATTACGAAACAATAAATGCTAAATCACGACAATAATGATGTAAGGTCCACAAGAACGAAATAGAAAGATCAAAGCTTACAAATCCGAAGCAAGAGATGCAGTATGTCCAGAGCATACCAATAACAAAATGTTAAAGAAAAGTGAGCATCAATTTACAAGAGTCGAGAAGGACTATACATAAATAGAAGAAGCAGGATCACTGGTATGGAAAAGCCTCGAAGCTCGGGTCGTACTCTTTTTCACTATGTCCTAAGAGGGCGCAAAAACAAAAAATGTAAGTGGACCATAATTTATAATAATACTAATAGTACGAAAACCAGTTTATTTTAGAACATAATAACCCCCTATTTTGAAAACATATATAATACTACATATAGAATTTATAAAAACCCTAGCATGCCATGCAAAACATTTATAAAACATCTGTAAATCATATCCGTGTTGTACTCAACTAGGGGTATCATAGTCGCCCGAAGGCCAGTACCTATCCATCACCCAAAGGTGAAACTGAATAACATGTCCATCAACTAAAGGTGAAGCTGTATAAAATAGCATACATCCACACCGACACTAGCCGCAACTAGTGAAGTTGTCTGACACCGCTTTCGGCAATGAAGCTGGGGGTATATAATATATCATATCTCACTACTCCATCATCTATATCATATGGCCATCGATAATACCCATGGTGTGCAGATGTGCCGTATGATAGCACACTAGGTACGTATCGAAAACATAACTCAAAACTCATATCAAACCTCGAACTATCTTCATAACCATAATAAATCCATCATATAAATTGTTTATACCATACTTAGTGTCTTCGTATTTAGATCTCGTATAAATACTCGGGGGACTCAAATGTAATTATGTAATAAATGAAGGGGCAAATATGTAATAAGTGAGGATCCCTTATTCTATAAAAGGACCCCTCACTCTCCTCATTAGAAGAGGTCAATTCTTAGGTCATGGGAAGCCTCACTCTCACTCGCAGAGGCTCTCATCTTCTCATCCTTTCATAAACAGAGAAATACAATATCAGTGTGGACGTAGCCCAAACATTGGGCTGAACCACGATACATCTTGTGTTCTTTACATTTCTTGCAGATTCACGGTCGGATTTACATTGTTCCAAGACATTTCCGGTTTTGTGCATCAACATTTGGCGCTGTCTGTAGGAATTGACACGAAAAGCTATATCAGTTCTCTTTCATTTTTTTCACCTCCACCGTGAATTTGCAGAAACCAAAGTCACCATCATACTACTACACCACTGCAGCACCGTGAATCTGACTACTATACTTGTCACCATCATACTATTACACCACTGCAGCACCAAAGTCACAGTTACTTGGAAGCATACACGTTTGGTTCCTTCCCATTACCAATATCCAGAGATCTGATCTGATTTCTCCATCTTTGTAATTGCTACTGTTTTTTAAGCTTTAGCTCTCTCTCTCGCTTTTTCTCACTCACTCACTACCACAATTGCCGCATTTTCTTTTCTTCCCTCTGTTTATCACCGATCATTCTCCAATCATTTTTTTTATTCGAGGAAATACGACGTTTTCCTCAACTTCAGAGGTGAAGACACTCGCAGGTCCTTCGTCACCCATCTCTACAAAGCTCTGAACCAGAAAGCCATCCACACTTTCATCGATGTCGAAGAGCTTCGAAAAGGCAACCACCTCTCCGACCTACTCACAGCCATTTGAAACTCGAGGGTCTTGATCGTAGTTTTCTCACCAAACTATGCTTCTTCCACCAGGTGCCTCAAAGAACTCGTCCAAATTCTGGAATGTATGGACTCGGACGGCCAGACTGTGGTGCTCGTCTTCTACGACGTCGATCCGTTTAACGTTCGCAAGCGTAATAAGAGTTTTACCGAGGCATTTACGAGACACAAGTACCGCAAGACCGTATAACGAAGGTACTACACCGTCTCCGGCGAAAATCCTGACGAGAAAACATTATACCTCTATGGATCCTTGACCCAGCAGTGTTAGAGAATGGCAGCTCGGATCTCAGCTATCTTGAATGGAGGAGAGGCACTTAGGTTGAAATTTGCTTCGTCATGGTGGTGGTTGTGGATCCCATTAACGTCATTGATAGGGTTGGCAGCTTCTTGCCAACTAGCTGACAGCAAATTGGTTTTGGAGATTTACAAGAGGTTGGCAGCTTCTCGCCAACTAGCTGCCTATTGAATCTTGATAAGTTGAAACCCAAGCAACTTCTTCGTATTTAGTCTAACAGCATATTGGTTTTGGAGATTTACAAGAGGTTGGCATACTCGATCAGCCTCCAGTTCATTATCACCAACTCCTCATTCAAGTCCGCTCTCTCTGCAACCAAATCAAACTATCGGTGGTGAGATCGGACTGCGATGAAAATGCCCAACAGGAGATACACGGGTTGACCGAGAAAAAGAGAAAAGCAAAAGTAAAAAAGGAAAAGCATTTATGGGTTGTCTTCCATTTGGGGGTTCCAGCTGAAAGAAGCTTTCCCATCCATTGTTCTCACTTTCTTCGGATTCCCTTCTACTCATTCCTCTCGGCGTAGAGACAAACTGTAAAGATTAATTGGGTGCACATGCATGACAGCAACACACAGACAGAAAGCAAAAGTAGAAAGCAAAAGAGGATAAAAAGAAGCAGACATAATTGCAGTGGTGATGACATGTAGAAAAGGGAATTATGGTCGTGACCTATTGAGCAGAGGGTCGGATTTATTTTTTGAATGATGTAATTTATTTTTCTTATCTTTCAAAGACATCTATATAAACCCCATCAAAGGATATATATATATATATATATATATATATATAAAATAAAAAATAAAAAATAAAAAAGGCAAGCCCAAAATAATGGGCTGGAATGTTATGTGGAGGGCGAATGCCCATATGCCCAAAAGAGCCAGACCCTCTATTATCACCAACCAGGTGATCAAAAGTACGTCCAGTACTACAAAAAATTATTCGGCAGCCTGCTGCTATTACCACTAACCAAGTGATCAAAAGTACATCCAGTACTCCAAAATTATTCGACAGCCTGCCGCTATTATCACCAACCAGGTGATCAAAAGTATGCCCAGTACTAAAAAATTATTCGGCAGCCTGCCGCTATTATCACCCACTAGGTGATCAAAAGTACATCCAGTACTCCAAAATTATACATGAGCATCACTCATGTCAATCATACATAAACATTCATGACCATCATTCATGTCAACATTCATGAGCATCACTCATGTCAACATACATGAGCATCACTCAAGTCAACATCCATGAGCATTACTCATGTCAATTAGCATAAACATTCATAAGCATCACTCATGTCAATCAGCTTCGAAAGATTTATTTACAGAGCTCCAGCTTCGAAAGCTTCATTTACAGAGCTCTAGCTTCAACAACTTCATTTACAAAAGCTTCAGCTTCGAAAGCTTCATTTACAAAGCTCTAGCTTTAAAGCTTCACTTGTAAAGCTTCACCTACAAAGCTTCAGTGCAGAGTATACAAATACCGCATCCAAACAACCGCCACTTCAGCCCATACATGGATTCAATTTGAAGTCTCCAGCCAACAGACTCTATTGATCGAAAACTTGGGGGACTACATTATGTACCATATATTGGGCCTCAATTGGGCCTCATGAAAAATACTTGGGGGACTTAGCCCATTATTTATGTACTGAAGAGCGAGCCCTTATTTTATAAAAGGGACTCCTTCACTTTCATTAGAGAGCACCCATTATTCATGTACTGAGGAGCGAGCCCTTATTCTATAAAAGGAATCCCTTACCATCATTAGAAAGCATCGCCGCCTACTAAGCAACCGCCTCGCCGCGAGTATCACTCATAACCCATCACTTATGTATTAAGGAGCGAGCCCTTATTCTATAAAAGGGACTCCCTCACCATCATTAAAGAGCATTGCCGCTTACTGAGCAACCGCTTTGCCGCGAGAATCAACCCTAGCCCATCATTTATGTATTAAGGAGCGAGCCCTTATTCTATAAAAAGGACTCCCTCACCTTCAACACCACAAGCCGAGCCAACAAAGGCAACATAAGCCATAAGCCAAGCAGCCTCGCAACATGTGCTATTCCTAGTTGAGCATCATTTCACATTAAGCACCGCCTCATATCAAGTATTCAGTTCTAAACGACATCTAGTTACTTCGGCCCACACATGGACTGAATTTCAAGTCTCCAGTCAAAAGACTCTCTTGACTGAAGACTTGGGGAACTACTGTTTATACCATACTTAGGGCCTCCATATTTAGATCTCGTATAAATACTCGGGGGACTCAAATGTAATTATGTAATAAATGAAGGGGCAAATATGTAATAAGTGAGGAGCCCATATTCTATAAAAGGACCCCTCACTCTCTTCATTAGAATAGGCCAATTTTTAGGCCATTGGAAGCCTCACTCTCACTTTCAGAGGCTCTCACCTTCTCATCCTCTCATAAACAGAGAAATACAATATCAGTGTGGACGTAGCCCAAACATTGGGCTGAACCACGATACATCTTGTGTTCTTTACATTTCTTGCAGATTCACGGTCGGATTTACGTTGTTCCAAGACCCTTCCGGTTTTGTGCATCAACATAAATCATAATCGACATACATAGAAATCCATATACGCAAATCCAATAATTCATATCCGCTCATGAAAACATAATTTCAATAAATCATAAAATTCCGTAAAGCAACTTAATTAAATAATGAATTCTATAAACCCATACTTATGGAAATCCGGAAAACATAATATAAAACACATTAAATGCATGAAATATGAAATGCATGCTAGGCTAATATTTTATAAAAATATATAAGTTATGAAAGGGTCCACTCATTGTATTCTAATACCGAAGGGCTGCTTGTACTAGGATAGGTTGGGTCACCTTCAACTGATGCACCTATACATAAAGAGATTAATTTACATTTGATAAAAACTCTACTAAAACATTGAAATTTGGAAAAACGGAGCACGCAGAATCAGGACGTCAAAATTAGTCTAGAAGGGGTCTCGGTCGAAACCCGAAAAAGTCAACGGTCATCGTTGACCAGTCAACGGTCAACATTGACCAGTCAAGGTCAATGGCTTGCTCTAGTCAACAGTCGGGTCGGGTCAACCCGGACAAAGTCTTAGCTTAGGGTTAGTGGCCGACTTCATTTGGGTTATATTTAGGTGGGTTTAGAGCTTGGGCTAAAGACTTAGGCTGGCCCAAAGATTAGGACCTAGGCTAAGGGTTTAAATATGGGCTAAGGAAAAGCAGGCCTATTTAATAACGTAGTGGGTTGAGCTAATTAGGTTTAGGACCTGGGCCCGGATTTAAAAAGGCCAATAGAATGGGCTCCCAATTGGGCTAGGCCAAATTGGCCCAATTCTTCCATGGGCCACCTGAAAACATTGAAGAAGAACATCGGACTTGGGGTTTTCGTCGGAAAACTTCCCTGACTCCGATCCGGGGTCAAACCTTAATAAAAAACCTTCATCCAAAAGCGAAAATGAAGTCAAAGAGTAAGGGTTCGAGTCTTACCAAAATGGAGCGACATTGACGTTGAGATCGGTAAGAAAATGGCCTAAAACTCACATTCACTCGTTGGAAAAACTTGGAAATATCTCCCTCGATATATTTCTGCATCCAAACCACCCCACAATGTCTTAAAATACCCTAATCTGCCCTACAACATAAACTAAAGGGGGTCTAAGTGCTTACCTTAGTTGGAAGGTTTGTGATCTCACCAGAGTCACCATACCCTGACTACACAATGTCAAAGGATGAGAAAAAGTGAGAGCTAAATGTGAGAGAGAAAACGTAGGGTCATGATGACAGCAAATGTGGTATGGTGGTTGTAGTGTGTGTGTGTGTGTGTGTGTGTGTGTGTGTGTGTGTGTGTGTGTGTGTGTGTGTGTGTGTGTTGGTTGCGTCGGAAGGAAGAGCACCGAGAGAAATAGATGTTTCTAGAGTGAAAGAGAGAGCATGGGGGAGGAGAAAGGAAAATGGCACCAATTAGAGGGTGCCACATGTCACCCATGTAGTGGTCCAAAAAGGTTAGATATTTCCACTACAAATTTACCAAAACTTCCTCACATTTAAAAAAAATTGTTACGGGTCGTTACACATTACATTGTTATAGACAACATCCTTACCTCCTTCATTTTGGTCTTATGCAGCTCAAGCATATGTCTGCCTTATAAATAGGATGCCTTCTCCCACATTGAATAATAAATAGGATGCCTTCTTAGACCTTATAACAATACCACATCTTAGAACAATGTGACTTATACAGCTCAAGCATCTGACTAAAGGTCTCACTACCTCGGATGCCATTCCAGAAATACAACATCTTAGAACCTTTAGTTGTTCTTGTTACCCATTACTTAGACCTTATAACAATACCAAACTTTAATACAAAGTGCATTTTCTTGGGGTATGCTTCTAAGTTCAAAGGATACATATGTTTTAAGGCTACTAAGAAAATGGTTTATATATCTAAGCAAGTAATTTTCGATGAATCTGAGTTCCCTTATCCCAACTTAAAATCTCCACTCAAACCAGTTAGTTATTCATTACCTACATCAACTGTTTTCAATCATGTTATGGTTCCAAATAATGATAATGTGATGGTTGTGCCTCCTGTTTATTTTCCAAATCATACTCAGTCTAGTCAATCACAATCTGTTTTAAATAGGTCAATGGAAACTAGAACTCAACCTACCCCTATTATTATCACTACAAATAAGTCATTATCCTCTTTTGTCAATGTGGTACCTAAATTCCAGCCTTATCAACTTCAAATGGCTATTTCTATTCCACCACTCAATTTGCATCCCATGCAAACTAGTTTAAAGAGTAGGATCTCCAAAAAAGTTGCATTATTGTGTGTTATACATGAGCATGGAGGAGTTGATCTCACTTAAGTAGAACCAGTTACTTACAAGTCCACCTTGAAATCTTCAGTGTGGTTGGATGCTAGGAAGGAGGAACTTACAGCTCTACATAGTCAAGGAACTTGGTCCTTGGTTCCTCTTCCTCCTCATAAAAATTTGGTAAGCTGCAAATGGGTATTCAAAATAAAGAAGAATGTTGATGGGTCTATAGCGAGATATAAGGCCAGATTGGTTGCAAAGGGATTTAATCAAGAAAGGAATTGATTATGGTGAGACCTTCAGTCCAGTGGTTAAACCAACCACTATGAGGCTAATAATTATTTTGGATGCACATTATTGTTGGTCTTTAAGAGATGTGAAAATTGCCTTTTTACATGGCATTCTCCAAGAAGAGGTATATATGTCTCAGATTTATTGATTCTAAACATGGTGATTATGTTTGCAAGCTTCATAAATCTCTATACGGTTTGAAACAAGCCCCTAGGGCATGAAATGACAGGATTACAATGTTTCTGCCTTCATTGGGATTTCAGTCTACTTATTTTGATTCTTCTCTATTTGTCAAGCATGTTGGTGGTTCTATTTTGATTCTATTGTTATATGTTGATGATATAATCATCACAGACAGTGCAACTCATTAGTGAGGTTATTCATGCTTTAGCTAAGGAATTTGACATCAAGGACTTAGGACCTTTACATTACTTCCTATGCATACAAATTGTGCAACAGTCAGATGGGATAGTTTTGTCTCAGGATAAGTATGTCACAGATCTTTTCACTAAGTCTGAAATGTTATTCTCTAAACCATGTGCCACCCCTTGCCTGCCATACAATCGATTAATGAAGGATGATGGGAAACCATACAACAATCCAAGTCCGGCCTTGTATAAGAGTCTAGTGGAGGCTTTACAGTATCTCACTTTCACACGACTTGATATTGCTTTTGCAGTACATCAAGTGTGTCAATTCATGCAGGCACCAATGGAATCTCATTTCATGGCTGTGATGAGGATTCTCAGATATCTCAAGGCAACATAAGGTTGTGGTATTCATTATGTTAAGGGAAATTTGGATCTTAATGTTTTTTGTGATGCGGGTTGGGTAGAGGATCCTAATTATAAGAGTTCCACCACTGGTTTGGTAATTTTTCTAGGGTCAAATCAGATATCATGGTCCTCTAAGAAACAATAAATAGTTTATCATTCTTCCACTGCAACTGAATATAAGGCATTGTCCTCCACTGCAGTCGAGATTGACTGGATTAAGTAATTTTTGCATTTTCTACATGTTTCATTCTCTGATAAGCCAACCTTGTACTGTGATAATTTTTCAGCTATTGCCTTAACTTTGAATCTGGTTCAACACCAACCGACAAAACATATTAAAATTGACATACATTTTGTCCGAGAAATAGTGGCAAAACAACTTTTGTAAGTTTACTTTGTATCTTCTACTGAGCAGTTTGCAGATATTTTAAACAAGGGATTGATAGCTCCTTTGTTTCAAAGGCATTGTAACAATCTCCAACTCAGTTTCTCTGCCTTGAGCTTAAAGGGGGATGATAGGAGTATTGAGTGAATGGCTATGATATTGCCAAATGTCAACATATTTGCTTTGCAATTATAAGTTTGTTAGAAGTTAGTTAGCATGTAAGCTAACTTAGATAGTATAAATACTCTTGTAATGAAATAGTTACAACTAATGAAATATACAATACAATTCAGATAACTTCCTCTCTCTCTCTCTCTCTCTCTCTCTCTCTCTATATATATATATATATATATATATATATATATATATATATGAATGATCATTTAATGCATTTGAATGTTAGGTTTGTGAAGAATTATACTTTTTTTAATATAAGAGCTATGTTATGTTAATCTACACTAAAGAGGATGTATGAGAGCTTGAATGGGTATCCAATGAGTTTTCATCAAAATATCGCGATATTATCGATAATATCGCGATATGAAATCTAAAAATACTTGAAAATTTCTGAAAAGTCTCAATTTTGAGCATAGAGGTATTCAACCCCGTCTCATTTAACTCCTTAACGCCTTAACGCCTTAACCACCATATCACTTATGTTGTTGTGATAATATGCTAAAATATTTATATATATGGTTTTGTTTTGAATTCTTTTTACAAGAAACAAATTTGCATATATTCCAAATTTTTTGTGGTATTATATTTTAAATTGTGTCAATTAATTACTTAGTCAATGGCATGTGATTTTTAATTTTTCTATTTTTTATTTGGTCACTTACATGGGCTGGAAAAAATTCCCAAAAATCCCAAACCAAACCAAAAAAGTCCCAAACCCAAATTGAAAAATCCCAAACCAAAACCATCCTGAAGTTTGGGAATCCCATCCCGAAAAATACCGAAATTTTCGATATGGGATTGGTTTCCAAATTCCATTTGTTTGGTAATCCCGAAAAATACCGAAGTATTCAGTTTCCTATTGACTTTTGGGTTTTGGTTCTTGAAAACCATTGTCATGGTTGTTGACTACTCTTCACAATACACTTACGCTACACATAGAGATGATGAAGATAGTGAAAATTTTGAACCTCATAGGAACTCTATGTGGTACTAAGTCACTCATGTATCTTACCATGCAATGTATAAAGTGTAAAATATTGTACTAATTCATTATATATAAATGATTATGGTGTGTTTAAATTTCTTTCATTAATTACTACATATTTTCTACATTCACAATGTTTGCCAGCTCGCTATTTAATCAACTTAAATCAGTTAAATCCATCATGCAATGCATTTCCTTCCAATTTTTTGTGATAAACTAATAGATAATTGACTAAATAAACATCCTGCAAAGTTTCAATAAAAATTTCCAAGTTTTTCTTTCAATTTCCGTGGTTATTCAATTTTTATCGATATCGATAATATCCCGATATTTCCATCGATATTTCCGTGTTTTTGGACTACCGATATTTCCGATATCATCAATATTTTATACCTTGCCCATAACTCAGTAGGTTGAAGAGAAAAATCATAACCATTAGGACAATCCATTACTTACCCTAGTGGAGAATAAGATTCAAATGTGTTTAATTTTTTTTAATAATATTCTTATTCTCATTATTTAAGAAAACTAAGAGAATACCTAACTACTCAATAAGATTCTTAACATTATATTTACTTGTACACGTCTACTGAACTTTTAAATTTATTCTAGTCTTATTTTGAGCTACGCCCCTTGGAATTTGATTTCTATTTCAATTTGCTCTCTGTAACTCAAAAATCGTCACTTTATTCTCTAAAACTCAAAGTTCGCTCCACTTTACCCCTAGAAATCATTTTTGATCCCACTTTGCACCCTAAAACTTGAAAGTTGTCTCTATAAAACTCAAAATTTGCTCCATATTATCTTAAATCTATTAATTTCTTGTGGATTTGATTTGGGTGTGTCAGGCCAATCAATTTCTTTTTTATATTTTTTCATCTCTTTCTTTTCTTTTAAACTTAATATTCTCCTATTATAAAATGTTAATGCATAATGAAGATTTATAGTCAAATTTATTGCACATGTGACATAGTCTTATTAGGTGTCAGGTCTCACACATGTTTTATGAAGCAATGTATAAGATTCAGGGTGAATAAAGAATCCATAAGTCAAAATGTAACGAATTTTGAGTTTCAAGAAGTAAAGTAATGACTTTTGAGTTATAAAAACAAAGTGACAAAAATAAAATTCTAGAGGGCGTAACTAAAAATAAACATTTATTCTACAACGGAATCCTGCTCCTTATGGCTTTATGGTTTGTGGTGTTCATATCAGGGATTTCCTTAATGAAAGTAATCATCCAATTTTATACAATTCTACGTGGTATTCTTAGCCCTAGCCTAAAATCCTTTCATTTACCCTTCCTCGGATGTTTCTGAAAAGGGAAATGTTATTTGAACCCATGTAATCTCTTTCTACACCCAACTTATTCTCTAAACCCATATTACTTTTAATCAAACTATTAATATCACTTTAAACCCAACTTTACTACCTAAATTACCCTCATAAATCCACTTCAATATATAAATTTATTTTTACACCCATTTAAAAAATAAAAATCGGAAATCAATATTCTAGAACTCGTTCAAGGCGTAAAGAAAGTAATATATTTGTCTCATACTTAATCTTTGTTGCATATTTGCCACTCCAATATACAAAGGCAAGGACCTAGTGGATACTGAAAATGGTGCAGTACTAGTCACTATGATACACAATTAAGTCGAGTTTAAATAATTGTGTCATCTCGGTGCTAATGTTTGATCCTTGCTCCTGCATTTGTCAAGTTCAAGCTTAATTAATTAGAGCTAGGTATAAATTTTATTCAATGGTTAAGTTGTATAAAATAGACAACGTGTAGTTTAGAAATCATAAAAATAGTTTGTTGTGTGTCAATGTTTTAGTCAATTTTCGCATCTTACTAGCCCAGAAGATTAACTGCTTTCACAGAAACAAGTAGAAGGGTTTGGATAATACTAATCTATGTTGTAGTTGTCAGCCAAAAGCCAAGAAAATTACATCTCTAGTGTAGGCTATAAATTGAACATTTATTGTTACGGACTTAAACTTAGATTTAGTTTCTGGGCAAGTGTAATAGAAAAGGCGTTAATTTTGTTTCTAAATCCTAAAAAAAATTGATATTAAATGAAAAAAACTTGCATCAATCGATTCATACCTTAGTTAGAGGATTCATAACTTTAAAATCATCATCCATTGGTCAAGAAGAGCATATTTTTCTCTATGAGAGCATTTTAAGGGTTTAGCTAGAATGAATGTATGATAAATATTACGTGATCGTAAGGTTTGACGTGATGATAAGGTCTGATTATTGAGTGGGTTTATTAATAAATTTTAATTTTATTGTTAATTTCATCTTGTATTTGATAGTAATTATGCAATAGGGTAGAAAAGATAATTCACATTTAAAATTCAAGTTGGGTGTAGAAACAGGTTATATGGATTTAAATAAAATTTCCCTTCCAAAAATTCTCCTTACCACAATCCTCCTTTGCTTCTTCTTCATCCTCTCTCTCTCCGAGGTCCTAATGTTACACAAGTTCTTAAACTTCAAAAACTAATTATTTTTATAGGAGAGGGAAATGCACATTCCCAGAACAGCTCAAGGCGGGTTTCTTTCTCTTTTCATCATAGGAATTAAAAGCATGTAGATCCATGTAACAAGTGTAACAAACTGTAGGAATGCAATTTCATTGTTATTCTCAAACTCTAAATAGATGAACTAAACGCACGCGATCAATTCAATATATATATGTGTGTGTGTGTACTTTTTTCTTTTTTTTGAAACGCACATTTTATGTTCCCATTCAGATACATATTGAGTTGAGTGCAGGCCCGGCCCAGGCCCAGTGCCACAGAGGCAACTGTCCAGGACCCAAACTTGAAGGGGCACCAAAAAACATCCAAATAATTATGTAATAGGTATAAAAATATCCAGAGCCCAAAATAACATAGATCGGCCCAGGTTTTTCTGTCCACCTCACCCCTGGAAACACATAGTTATAGAATTTTAAGACAAAAACATCCCTTATCTTTTTTAATATTTACACCATCTAAATCATAAAACAAACCCTAAAATTCTCTCTCTCTCTCTTCTCTTCCCTTCTCTTCACTCTTTTGTACCCTGTAAGATTCGCAGCTTGTTTGTGATTGCCTCCTCGATCCCTTCCTAGATTTTTCTCTTACTCGGTATGCATTATCTCTCCCTCTCCCTCTCTCTTAATTTTCTTTTTCATATTATTTGTTTCTGGACTTTGTCTGACTTGAATTTGTTGGTTTTGTTTGATGGGTTTCTCTTTAATTTTGATTTCACGTTTAGAACAATGATGGGTTGGTTCCTTTTCCCTTCCTTTTTTTTCTGTGTTGGGGTTTCAATTGCCATTTTAATGTGATTTTATTATGTCTGTGATTTCTAATCCCTTGAAAATATAACTGTTTCCTGTATTCCTGGTAATTAGGAGTTTTTATTTTATTTTTTCCCCATCTTCTGAGTTCTATTTGCTTGGAAAAAGTTGTTTCTGGAACCTAAAGTGTATATCTTTGAATGTGATTTTCTATAGAGAAATTTATTAATGGAAGTGATTGGTGGTGGCCATTTCTACCATTGTCTCTGTTCATGTAGGGAAAACCCTTGTTTGTAATTCTCCCACTGGCGATTTTTCGATTTCAACTGATATACATCCTATACAAAAACATGTTTCAATTGCGAAACATTAGCTGTTAGTGGCTTGTTTGATCAATATTACAAAGAACTGGGAATTTTCTACCATTGATCATCTTCACAAATGATTAGGCATCCTCATGGTACTAATTTGTTCTCTTGAAATTCAATTGTCCTCTAGAATTTCCTCTGAATATCTTTAAACCTGTTATGTTTTGGAGACTAAGCTTTTGAGTTTTGCTATCCTTGCAACCTTAGAAGCCTTCACCTTGCACCCAAGGTCCCGACTTCAATTCCCCCCCTCCCCGGTATCGTTTGTAGAAAAACAGAAAGCCATTTGCAGGTTCAAGGGTAAATTGATGAATACCTCTATTTTATATGATTGGATGAATATCTGATTGGATTGGGATCTATTGGATGTGTGTTTAATACGTTATGTGATTGGTTTTTTTTTCTTGCAGCTGCTACACCAAAACAAATTAGAGAGTTAATGAAGGTTGATGGGATTACTAATGATGAAGTCAAAAGCCATTTGTAGGTTTGTATATGTGATTATCCATCCGTTTTGGATCATAATTTGGTTGATGTGAATAAAATTTTACACATACATGACAGAAATTGGAAGCCATTTTGCATGCTATTAGTGATGATTTTTTTTTACACATACATGTGATTATCCTTGTTAAATATATTTTTTTTAAATATATGTTTCCATATTAAAAAAGGGCACATTTTGAGCTTTCGCACCGGGCACCAAAAAACTCAGGACCGGCCCTGGTTGAGTGTAATCGATTAAGAAAATCAATTCATAAACCTATAGCGATTAACAATGGGGGAGCCACCCCTAAGGCTTAGGTGGGCTATAGCCCAGGATGGTTTTTTTGTAAATTCATGCTTTAATTGCTTATGTTAATGCATGTAGTTTATTAGCCACTCAATTTTAATACAGGTTAATATTTACTGTATACTTGGTGCATGATAGGTAACAAATAATACTTTTATGCTAAAAATAAAATGATTTCTCTCTCTATTCCTCATCCTTTTTCAGTGGTGGAGATGAGTGTTGCCCTTGTACTACAGCGTGGGTTCAAACCTTGGCTCCCTAATCTAACAAATCTATCATTTGACAAAAACAAAAAAACAAAAAAAAAAGACTTTTTAAGCTATGCAATCTAGCCATTGTGCTTCTTACTCAACAACAACAACAACAACAAAGCATTTTCCCACTAAGTGGGGTCGGCTATATGAATCCTAGAACGCCATTGCGCTCAGTTTTGTGTCATGTCCTCCGTTAGATCCAAGTACTCAAGTCTTTTCTTAGGGTCTCTTCCAAAGTTTTCCTAGGTCTTCCTCTACCCCTTCGGCCCTGAACCTCTGTCCCGTAGTCACATTTTCGAACCGGAACGTCAGTAGGCCTTCTTTACACATGTCCAAACCACCGGAACCGATTCTCTCTCATCTTTCCTTCAATTTTGGCTACTCCTACTTTGCCTCGAATATCCTCATTCCCAATCTTATCCTTTCTCGTGTGCCCATACATCCCACGAAGCATCCTCATCTCCGCTACACCCATTTTGTGTACGTGTTGATGCTTCACCGCCCAACATTCTGTGCCATACAACATCGCTGGCCTTATTGCCGTCCTATAAAATTTTCCCTTGAGCTTCAGTGGCCTACGACGGTCACACAACACGCCGGATGCACTCTTACACTTCATCCATCCAGCTTGTATTCTATGGTTGAGATCTCCATCTAATTCTCCGTTCTCTTGCAAGATAGATCTTAGGTAGCGAAAACGGTCACTTTTTGTGATCTTCGCTAGATTGCTCCGGTCATTAGTGTGGATAAGTATATAAATGGATAGAGATAGGAAAGCAAACACAAGATGTACGTGGTTCACCCAGATTGGCTACGTCCACGGAATAGAGGAGTTCTCATTAATTGTGAAGGGTTTACACAAGTACATAGGTTCAAGCTCTCCTTTAGTGAGTACAAGTGAATGATTTAGTACAAATGACATTAGGAAATATTGTGGGAGAATGATCTCGTAACCACGAAACTTCTAAGTACCGGAGTGTGGTATCGTCTTGACTTGCCTTATCTGTCTCATAGGTAGATGTGGCATCTTCTCTGGAAGTACTCTTCCTCCATCCAGGGGTGGTATCTGTAACTGGTGGAGATGCACAAGGTAATGTATCAATTTCACTTGAAGCTTACTTGTAGTTTCAGGCTTGGTCAAGCGCGATACAAACCATGTAGTAGGAGTCCCCCAAGTCGCCGAGCTAGGGGATCTGCTGAAAGAGGTGACAGACAAGGTAAGCAATCAGAGCTCCGGCTGATTGTTCACATTCTCCCTATCTTGCAGGCAGCATGAAGGATAAAGAGAAGAAAAATGAAAAAGAGATGATATGGGATACTTTTGCTTTTGAAGAAGTAACTTTCCACAGGCTTATTCTTGAACTGGGCTGGAGGGTTTTCTGGTTTCCTCCAGAGTATAAGGCCGACTGAAGAATTTGAGGGTCAAAACAAGTCCATCAAATCTAGAGTACGTTCGACCCTGCTGATATGGGATACTTTTGCTTTTGACAGAGTAGTGGATGTATCGGCACGTGTGCTGTTACGCTTGTCTCCACATGCTTCCTTGTATCCTTCTCACTTGCCCTATCTGTTCCTCAGGCAGATGCGGTATCTTCCCTGGAAGCATAAGATGTTGAAGATGAGTACTCGAGAGCAATGCCAGGTAAGTAATCAGGTAAGGGGTTCCAGGCAGTCAGTTCCTGGCTGGAAGCTTGATTCCAAGTGCTGACTGATTGCTCTCTTTCTCCTTGTCTTGCAGGTAAGAACAAGGCCAAAGGAAAAGACAGGGAAAAAGCATGATATGGGATACTCTTGCTTTTAACCCTGATGATATGAGATATTCTTGCTCTAGTATAGCTTGTTTACAGAGGTATTATCGGGGGGAAAGAAAGCTGAATATTTCGAAAGGCTTCGTTGGGAGTGCCCTCTCAGATAAGAGGAAAGGGTTGAGCATTTTTGCAGGTCTGCCTGTCCGTTGGGGATGGAAGGTCGACATATATAGGAGTCTCCCTAACATCAAGTAATAATGCTATTCATTTACCCTGCTTGGTCATAGCACGGTAGTGGGAGCTGCCAGCTTCACATGTTTTAACTCTGTCAGAGCACTTTGAAAAAGTGGTCTGTGGTATCTGGAAAGCTGATGTTGCGTGTGAAGATTACAGACAAGCTTTATCCAAGGAGATCCAGCTCTTGAAGTTGGGAAAGTGGTGCCTCTTTCGATTTTTCGAACAAGCAATCCTATCGGGGGTCTGGCTCTCGAGATTCGGAGAACGATGCCTCTTCGATTTTTGAGAAAGCAATCCTGCTGAGGGTCTGGCTCTCGAGATTCAGAGAGCGGTCTCTTCGATTTTTGAGAAAGTAATCATGTTGGGAAGTCTGGCTCTCGAGATTCGGAGGGCGGTGCCTCTTCGATTTTGGAGCAAGCAATCTTGTTGGGAGTGTTTTCTCGAATGTGAGTAAAGGTTGGGCATGTTTGCTAGTCTACCTTGCCACGAAGCACAGAGGTTGACACACAGGGACTTTCCAATTATCCAGCAGTGGTACTGTTCCTTTACCCTCTCTTCGATTTTTGAGAAAGTAATCATGTTGGGAGTCTGGCTCTCGAGATTCGGAGGGCGGTGCCTCTTCGATTTTGGAGCAAGCAATCTTGTTGGGAGTGTTTTCTCGAATGTGAGTAAAGGTTGGGCATGTTTGCTAGTCTACCTTGCCACGAAGCACAAAGGTTGACACACAGGGACTTTCCAATTATCCAGCAGTGGTACTGTTCCTTTACCCTCTCTTCGATTTTTGAGAAAGTAATCATGTTGGGAGTCTGGCTCTCGAGATTCGGAGGGCGGTGCCTCTTCGATTTTGGAGCAAGCAATCTTGTTGGGAGTGTTTTCTCGAATGTGAGTAAAGGTTGGGCATGTTTGCTAGTCTACCTTGCCACGAAGCACAGAGGTTGACACACCGGGACTTTCCAATTATCCAGCAGTGGTACTGTTCCTTTACCCTTGTGGGTAATAATATGGTAGCTAGACCTTCAAAATTTATGTGTCTAAACTTTGTTAGTGTTGTTTCTTTGCTATTCTTTTACCCTTCTTGGTCAGAGCGATGTAGTGGGAGCTGCAAGCTTCACGTGTCTCAACTTTGTCAGAGAACTTTGGCAAAGTTATCTGTGGTACCCATGAGCTACTGTTGCGTGTGGGAAGTGGGTGATTGAACAGTACGATTCATGTGCTTTCTACTTCGCCAGAAATCTTCGACAGAATGCCCATAATTTCCGCAAAGCTGAGTGTGCGTGTGACAGGTGCTGACAAGGCTGGAAAAGTAGGTGCCTCTTCGATTTCTGAGATCGGCCCTCGTGGTCTCTGAGCAGCCCAGCTTTTGAGAAAGCAAGCCTCTTCGATTTCTGAGATCGGCCTTCGTGGTCTTTGAGCAGCCCAGCTTTTGAGAAAGCAAACGCCTCTTCGATTTCTGAGATCGACCCTCGTGGTCTCTGAGCAGCCCAGCTTTTGAGAAAGCAAACGCCTCTTCGATTTCTGAAGCTTCGTCGAGTGCAGATTTTTATAGGGGCTGGACATTAAGTTCCAAAGCACACTTGAATCTCCACCAGTAGAAGCTCCATTCTTGCACTTCTAAGATCTTGATTTGTCCGACCTCTTCTCTCTTCAACACCTTTGAAAATGTCTGGCCCCTCCGACCGTCGTTTTGACTTGAACCTTGTTGAAGAGGCAGCCCCGCCTTCTCCAGACAAATATATGGCGCCCATCCTTCGTCTCCCCTACTGGTCCTCTTACCGTTGGGGATTCCGTGATGAAGAATGATATGACCGCTGCGGTGGTGGCCAGGAACCTTCTCACTCCCAAAGATAACAGACTACTTTCCAAACGGTCTGATGAGTTGGCTGTTAAGGATTCTCTGGCTCTCAGTGTTCAGTGTGCAGGTTCTGTGTCTAATATGGCCCAACGCCTATTTGCTCGAACCCGCCAAGTTGAATCATTGGCGGCTGAAGTGATGAGTCTCAAACAGGAGATTAGAGGGCTCAAGCATGAGAATAAACAGTTGCACCGGCTCGCACATGACTATGCTACAAACATGAAGAGGAAGCTTGACCAGATGAAGGAATCTGATGGTCAGGTTTTACTTGATCATCAGAGATTTGTGGGTTTGTTCCAAAGGCATTTATTGCCTTCGTCTTCTGGGGCTGTACCGCGTAATGAAGCTCCAAATGATCAACCTCTGATGCCTCCTCCTTCTAGGGTTTTTGTCCAGTACTGAGGCTCCGAATGATCCCCCTCCGGTGCCTTCTCTTTCTGGGGCTCTACCGACTGCTGAGACTTCTCCTAAGCAACCTTTGTGAAGGCTCCCTCTTGTTTGTTTATTTTGACTCAAGTATATGTACATATTTGTAACTTATCGGGGATATCAATAAATAAGCTTTCCTTCATTTCAACGTATTGTGTTAAATACACCAAAGCCTTCTTCGCTAAGTTCTTTGAATTTTCTTTTGTTGAAGCTTGTATGTTGAAGCTTTGTGAGTGGAGCATGTAGGTTGAGGTAGTGTTCCCTTAATTTCCCGAGTGAGGAAAACTTCTCGGTTGGAGACTTGGAAAATCCAAGTCACTGAGTGGGATCGGCTATATGAATCTTAGAACGCCATTGTGTTCTGTCCTGTGTCATGTCCTCTTCGTTAGATCCAAGTACTCTAAGTCTTTTCTTAGGGTCTCTTCCAAAGTTTTCCTAGGTCTTCCTCTACCCCTTCGGCCCTGAACCTCTGTCCCATAGTCGCATCTTCTAATCGGAGCGTCAGTAGGCCTTCTTTGCACATGTCCAAACCACCGTAACCGATTTTCTCTCATCTTTCCTTCAATTTCGGCTACTCCTACTTTACCCCGGATATCCTCATTCCTAATCTTATCCTTTCTCGTGTGCCCACACATCCAACGAAGCATCCTCATCTCCGCTACACCCATTTTGTGTACGTGTTGATGCTTCACCGCCCAACATTCTGTGCCATACAGCATCGCCGGCCTTATTGCCGTCCTATAAAATTTTCCCTTGAGCTTCAGTGGCATACGGCGGTCACACAACACGCCGGATGCACTCTTCCACTTCATCCATCCAGCTTGTATTCTATGGTTGAGATCTCCATCTAATTCTCCGTTCTTTTGCAAGATAGATCCTAGGTAACGAAAACGGTCGCTCTTTGGTATTTCTTGATCTCCGATCCTCACCCCTAACTCGTTTTGGCCTCCATTTGCACTGAACTTGCACTCCATATATTCTGTCTTTGATCGGCTTAGGCGAAGACCTTTAGATTCCAACACTTCTCTCCAAAGGTTAAGCTTTGCATTTACCCCTTCCTGAGTTTCATCTATCAACACTATATCGTCTGCGAAAAGCATACACCAAGGAATATCATCTTGAATATGTCCTGTTAACTCATCCATTACCAACGCAAAAAGGTAAGGACTTAAGGATGAGCCTTGATGTAATCCTACAGTTATGGGAAAGCTTTCGGTTTGTTTGTCCTTCATGAGTTCTTACGGCAGTCTTTGCTCCTTCATACATATCCTTGTATAGCTTGGATATATGCTACTCGTACTCCTTTCTTCTCTAAAATCCTCCAAAGAATGTCTCTTGGGACCCTATCATACGCTTTTTCCAAATCTATAAAGACCATGTGTAAATCCTTTTTCCCATCTCTATATCTTTCCATCAATCTTCGTAAGAGATAGATTGCCTCCATGGTTGAGCGCCCTGGCATGAACCCGAATTGGTTGTCCGAAACCCGTGTCTCTTGCCTCATCTATGCTCAATGACTCTCTCCCAGAGCTTCATTGTATGACTCATTAGCTTAATACCCCTATAGTTCATGCAATTTTGTACATCGCCCTTATTCTTGTAGATAGGCACCAAAGTGCTCATTCGCCACTCATTTGGCATCTTCTTCGTTTTCAAAATCCTATTGAAAAGGTCAGTGAGCCATGTTATACCTGTCTCTCCCAAAACTTTCCACACTTCGATTGGTATATCGTCTGGGCCTACTGCTTTTCTATGCTTCATCTTCTTCAAAGCTACAACCACTTTTTTTCCTTCCGGATTCGACGATAAAAAAGAGTAGTTTCTACACTCTTCTGAGTTACTCAACTCCCCTAAAGAAGCACTCCTTTCATGTCCTTCATTGAAAAGATTATGAAAATAACCTTTCCATCTGTCTTTAACCGCGTTCTCTGTAGCAAGAACCTTTCCATCCTCATCCTTGATGCACCTCACTTGGTTTAGGTCCCTTGTCTTCTTTTCCCTTGCTCTAGCTAGTTTATAGATATCCAACTCTCCTTCTTTGGTATCTAGTCGCTTATACATATCGTCATAAGCCACTAACTTAGCTTCTCTCACAGCTTTCTTCGCCTCTTGCTTCGCTTTTCTATACCTTTCACCATTTTCATCGGTCCTATCCTTGTATAAGGCTTTACAACATTGTGCTTCTTACTCAAGAAAAAAAAAAAGATTTTTTTAATCAACCATTAAACACCTAGCTCCACAATTTCCTTACTTTATGTTGAGATTTTCCAATGAATGTCACATTTGGTATGTTCTCAATCTCTTTATTTACTATTCTTGATTTAATTAGTAGGTTAATTATTTATATGATCCTTGAATTTGTCTTAGATTATGATTTTGAGAAAAGTTTATATTTCATCGTCGTTGTTTCATGTTGATTATCGTATAATTTTATCTAGGCAATAAAAATGAACATATAATTTTGTGGTACTAATTTCAGCTAGCCCACCCATAAAAAAAAAAATTAAATTAAATTAAAAAAAAAATCCTAGCTCCGCCAGATTAATGAGGAATCTGATTCACATGGGGTCCGGTGAATGACTGATTGCCACCCTTTGCGTAAACCTTAAGATACTATGTTTTATATTTACTACTTTAATTAGTTCAGATATTTGAGGGGAATTTTGAGGTAATAAATAAAAACTTGAGGATGGATCGATGATGCATGATAAACGTGGATTCGAAAGAGGTAGAAACTGCACTATATATTACATATATTTTATCTTTATTTCTTTGTTTGTGGCCGTACAGACCAACTCAATTATTAAATTGTTGGCTTATTAATCACACATGAACTATCAGAAATAATTAAATATCTTTCTTTGATAATGTATACAAATTAAAAAGAATACCAAAGAAGATGCGTGGCACCAATTATAAGAACCTTAATAATATTTAGGTTCTTGCAGACAGAAAAAAGAAGAAGAAGGTTCTAATTCTCAACCGTGGCATACTACTTGTCGTGATGATCTTATATTTGTTACGTCTGAGGCATCAAATTATTCCTAACTTATGGAAAATCCATTTTAAACCCCACCCCTCCCCCCCCCCCCCCCCCCCATATTTATATACTAATGACAGCTAGATGCAGAAGAACAAACCAAACCATATGTAATATCCTATAGTGTCCAGAAGCATGCTTAATTTGAACATTACTAAAACTCGGTTTGTGGAAAGAATGATAAACAATGTTTGGCACCTAACATATAAAGTGTCATTCTTTACCAGCAAATCACATAATACGTATATGTTAAAATTACTCATAAAAATACAGTTAAAAGAATTTATATGTATTCATGTAAAAAATCAAGTATTCTTTTAAATAGAATTATCTCAAAGATGAATGTCAGGCATGTCCTATATTTATAAATAGCATTTCCTTGAATCCATCATATTTATCTACAGAAAATAACGTATCTTCTGTATAAATTTCAAAAACAAAACCATTTTTTAATCGTCCTGTGAAGTAGCGCCTCTACTGTTTAATTAATAACATATAAGCTTCGGCATGTAGTGAGAGTCCTCCTATATATAATGGGGCTTGGCCCCAACCATTTTGTAGAATCCAAATTAAGCAAAACTAGTATTAGTCCATTATTTGGAATTTCTAGCTAACATGGGGAGTCAAGTTTCTTCTCCTCGTCCTAATGCACCTCTTCCAACCAGTGATCATGATTACCAAGGATACCGAGGACAGGTGACTGCAGCCAACATGGAGAATCGTCATAGAGCTCCACAGAACCTTCAGAGGCCTAACAAGCCCATCAACTCAGACGAGGCAGCGATAATCTATGGTGGGATATCCGTCACAGAAGTGTATGGTACTCGTACCGGTAAACCGATCAATAATAGGCGTTTTTATTGATTGTTAAATATCATGCTTGAACACATGGTATGAGAAACAAATGCCCTAGCTAGTTGTCCTTTTGTTGTTATAATAATTAACCTAGCTCTTCCACAGCTTCATAAAGCTGTTTACCTGGGAAGAGCTAGTACAAATTATGCCCTAGTTCATCGTTTTCTACTTCCACATCTTGAAGTTTTATATCGTCTGTATCGTTTTCTAATGCCCTACTTGTAATACAGAAGCTTTATATATATTATATAGTGTGTGTCTTGATGTTTTATACCGAACTCGTGCATGTCTCTCGCTCTTTTATTTTCTTGATTAGACTTGCGATGCATGCTTGCACGATTAATTCTGAAATTGATTAATTTCAGTTCAATAACATATGGCTTGGTTAAATTTGTTAAATCACGTAGTAGGTGTATATTTCTCTCGAATCAAGTGTGTGAGAGAAGTCAGCCAAAAAGAAAAGCTGGAGCTCTGTGCATGTGAGAATAGATGTCTCAAATATATTTTATATGAAACAAAGAGGAGAGAGTGTTAAAGAATGGTATTGCTAGAGTTTTGGTGAACGATATAATTGCAAGAATATGTGGAGAGAACTCTCAAACATTTGATTGATTAGTGTTAATATGAAGAAATAGAATCCATAAGTAATTAGAAGAGTATGTATTTATAGTGAACTAGTCACTCTAACAGACTTCCTAACAAACTAACTAATCTAACAAACCACCTAATCTAATTACAAATGGCAATATCTCATCCATACAACATTATACTCTAACAATTAGTTTGTACAGTGGAATACAAGATTTATATGATACAAATCGACTATTCTAGGAAGTTAACTCTATGAGATATCAATACATGATTTACACTAATCCGATCCTACAATCAAGGAGAATCAAATATACCAATTGATAGTCTTCCAATAGAGGGAACTTCCAAATTTGAGAAAAAACTTGTGTGAAGCTTTGCTTACTACTGCACTTTGCTAAGTGGCGCTACAATCCAGTCAATATTCAGTGGCCAAATGACAAGTTTTGATTGGATTGCAGTGCCACTCAGCAAAATCCAATGGCAAGAAAAGCCTCACACAAGTTTTTTTTCTCCAAATTGTAAAAGAAACAAGTTAGGACTTACCAAAAGAAAGCCCAAGAGTTTCCAAGTTGTTGTAGGCTTGTAGCTAAACTTGAGCACATTAAGCAAGCCAGCCTTGTCGAATTGGTGTAAAAAGAGAGAGAGAGAAAATCTCTCTCTATTCTCTAATATCAATCATATGACTGACAACTCTTCTTCTCTTCTTTATCAAATTTCCAAGAAAGTTAAGGGGGCTGTAGTCAAATTAAGATTTTATAGGATTTTAATGGACTTTATAGTCAATTAGAATTTTTAAATGGATTTTAAAGGACTTTGAAATCATAGTGTAGTGAAATTAGGATTTAAGATGATTTTAAAGAATACATCAAAATCCTGGGGTAGTCGATTACGATTTAAAAAAAATATATCGAAATTCATGTGTAGTGAGATTGCTAAAGATTTGTTAGGATTTTAATGGAAGAGGGATTTTGATGGATTTGAGAGGGAAAGTATAAATAGAAAATGACTTGAACAATCCAACCTTGACCCCTAGGATTTCATTTCAAGGCCAAAGAGTTCTATCTGCAATGGTCTTCCTCCATTTTTGGCCCTGCCTGAGATTCAGTGACTATATCACCACCTATACGTATGAGGTTTCCCAAATCCCCATTTCCCTAACTTCCTTTCGCCCCCCCCCCTCCCCGAGACCCACCCACAGTAAACGCAATTTGCTCATCCATTTTCTAAATTTTTCGGAGGTGTAGTCAAACTCGGATTTGAGAGTATTTTAAAAGACTTTAAAATCCTAATTTAGTCAATTAAAAGATTTTAAAGGATTTTAAAATCCATCCAAATCTGAAAAGTAAGATTTTGGAGGATTTCACTAAGTTGTGGATTTTGTGGGGTTTGAAAGCAAGAAGTAAATATAACCAAGACTAAAAAGAATCTAATCTCACCCCTAGGATTTCAAATCCTTTTCCATCTAGACAGTCCTCAAATCTCTACCAACCCCAGCCACACACAGGGAACCACCATATACTTTGGTGGAATCTCTTATTATGACCCTTAGACCTTAATTAGGCATGTATGATCATCGAATGACATGATCGATCTAGGATTTTGGTTAATACTACTCTCTTACCATTCTGATTTTTTAATGTCTGTGGTACTACAAGCACTACTGAAGTACCACAACGTACGTCTGTGGCAAAAGGGCAGTCGATGGTGATGGTTGTTGGTGGTGTAGTGCTCAAAAGCTCACCAAAGTTATGTTGATCTATCAATTGAGAAAGAGATGAAGCCGTGGTTGTGTGGAAGGGGATCCAAAAATGGAGGGGATAAAGTGGCTATTGGGTTCAGTAGGTAAAGGGGAAAGATTTTTCCTTTTTTTTCAATAAAAAAAATTATATGAAAATCCACCACAATCCACCAAAATCTACAAACTAAATCCATTCAAATTCTTTAAATCCCATATGAATTTTGTAGGAGTCTTAAATCCTCCTAAATCCTATCAAATCTATCACTTTTAAAATCCTTTAAAATCTTAGTTTGACTACACGGTTGAGGAGGTGGCTGCATGCCAAGCAATAACAAGCCACCAACGGGGTTTCCGATCATGATCTTCCAAACCTGAAACCAATGGCCCTGTTTCAAATCAGAATTAATTCCAAACCACACCAGAACAAAACCCAATTGATATAGAGCTCCCCCAGCAAGAACAACAATCACAAAGGAAGTTGAGGGTTTTCATAGTGTTTTACTCAATGTATGGGCATGTGGAGATTTTGACCTGGAGGATAAAGAAAGGATTTGATTCCATTGATGGGGTTGAAGGGTTTCCGTTCCAAATTGCTTCAAATAGAGGGAGATAGGTTTTCTCAGTGAAAGACTCAAGGGATAGTGAAGATTTTTGGCCAATACTGGGATGAAAGCTAGTGGGTCATCCCTCTTTGCATCTTTTGGTGCTTCCGATTTGAGTAATGTGAATTTTGTATTTATGTGATGTTGACTTGGGCTCCCACAGCTAGAGATGTATGTGTTATACATCTCCATATACACCATTGACTAGAGTGCTTTCCATTATTTATTAGTTTTTCATTGCTATGTGTTATAGAATGTAGTACCGACTCGTTTCAGAAATTCATTCATGTTATTGGAGTCTAAATCCTAAGAAATCCATAAAGAAGTCTATACAAATCCAAAGAAATCTATAATAAAAATCTATATAAATATGCCAAAATCCATATAGATTTTAGAGTCTATTAAAATTCTTTAAAATCTATCACTTAAAAGAAATCCATTAAAATTCTTTGAAATCCAAATCGACTACACGTTAAGAATTGAAGATGGGAATTCTAATTAGCAATTTGGCAGTGTTTTCAGTATCACATCCGATAATAAAATAAACAAAGTTGTACAGAAAAAGAATACTAATGTATGGAATTTACGTTCCCTAATTAAATTGAGTATAAGTTATGCACCCACTTCCAACTTGATTTGAGACGAATTACACTTACTTCGCCAATTATATGTTAATTAAAACCAATATTTTTTTGCCACTTAACCTTTATAAGTTGAACCACATTATTATTGCAAACCAAGTAAGGTTTAGTCCACTCCCCCAACCCCCCTTAGTATAGTAACTATTATTTGTTCAAAAAAAAAAAAATATATATATATATATATATAGATTTTTTTTTTCTTTTTTCTTTTTAATTTGAGGGTGGTGGGTTGGTTTAATTCTACAAGGGATGCTAAAAACTTTCTCATATGGAACTTCTTCTTCTATCTTTGTTGATGCACAAAATCAGTGAGGACTTTGGTACAACAGAAAGTGTTAAGTTTGTGACCTTCGCTAGATTGCTCCGGTCACTAGTGTGGATAAGTATGTAAATGGATAGAGACAGGGAAGCAAACACAAGATGTACGTGGTTCACCCAGATTGGCTACGTCCACGGAGTATATGAGTTCTCATTAATTGTAAAGGGTTTACACAAGTACATAGGTTCAAGCTCTCCTTTTGTAAGTACTAGTGAATGATTTAGTACAAATGACATTAGGCAATATTGTGAGAGAATGATCTCTATTTATAGAAGAGAGTTTCTAGTTTCATTCTGACATTGACACGTGTCGTGTTGTGATTGGCTTCTGATGTTGACACGTGTCGCGCTGTGATTGGCTTCTGATGTCTACACGTGTCGCGCTGTGATTGGCCTCCTGGTTGGAGGGAAACTCTTCTAGGTCCTTGACAGTATAACGTTGACCAGTGCTCAGTAGTTTCGGGATTGGTCAAGTATGGTACAAACAATGCTCCTCTAAGTTCCCAAGTGATGGAAGCTCCTAGGTTGGGGACTTGCAAGATCCAAGCCATTGAGTAATCACGAAACTTCTAAGTGCTGAATGTGGTATCATTTTCACTTGCCTTATCTATCTCATATGTAGATGTGGCATCTTCTCTGGAAGTACTTTTCCTCTATCCAGGGGTGGTATCTTTAACCGATGAAGATGCACAAGGTAATGTATCAATTTCACTTGAAGCTTACTTGTAGTTTCGGGCTTGGTCAAGTTGCAAACCCTATAGTAGGAGTCCCCGAAGTCGCCGAGTTAGGAGATTTGCCGAAAGAGGTAACAGACAAGGTAAGCAATCAGACTTCCAAGCAAACAACCTTGATCGGAGGTTCGACTTCGGCTTCCGGTTGATTGTTCTCCTTCTCCTTGTGTCATAAACAGCAACAAGGATAAGGAGAAGCAAATGGAGAAGAGATGATATGAGATACTTTTGCTTTTTATGAAGTAACTTTCCACAGGCTTATTCTTGAACTGGGCTGGAGGGTTTTCTGGTTTCCTCCAGAGTATAAGGCCGACTCAAGAATTTGAGGGTCAAAACAAGTCCATCAAATCTAGAGTACGTTCGACCTTAATGATATGGGATACTTTTGCTATCGACAAAGTAGTGGGTGTGGTATGGCGAGGCTTTACTCTCTGGCAATGGTGTCAGCGAAAGGTTGTTGAAGCTTCTTGAGTTCTTCGGATAGGGCAGCGATGCTGGGTTTGGATTTGATTTATACTCCTCTGTCTGGGTTGTGTGGTTTTGCAGGAAGGGCATCGTGCTATAGTGATTTGTTCCAACTCATCATTGATCATTATGCTTCAATCTCTTACAGCATTTATCCCCGATGCAGGGGTGGAATGCAACCTTTG